AACCAGCTCAACTTTCCCATAACACCAAATAACCCTCACATCATCACAACATCCCCGACACCCTGCAACGTCAACGCATTCATTCCCGTTTGCGTACCTCGGTCACTTCGATCTCCGGACTCTCAATTTACTATCTGACAATCGTCCGTGAAAAAGTGCTTCATCTCTCCACATGATACGGTCTCCATTTCCAGGTGTTCCGAGCTAGTGACACCGATGCATCAACTCCTTGAGGTCGATTACAATTGGAGAGAGGATCGCATGTACCGAATGGGAATGCTGACAAGAAAAATCATGGTTACCGATTACGGCGCTCCCCAGCTCTTCTATCGGGACCCCGAGCAGTTTACCATTTCAAATGCCGCGGCTCAGATTACGCGATATTACATGTAGTCGAATAGGCGGGGTCTTTAAATTTCGGTTATGCTAAATTTTGTGTTTCAGTGGATAATTTATCAAGTTTCGCGTCACATATTGAATGTAATTGTTTGATCAAGCTTTCTTTCATCGTTTTCATGATTACATACGCCCCGGAATCTTTAAAGAATTTGTAACATTGTGTTATAGCGCCAGAGTGGCATTCTCTATCAGTTCAGTCGTCAAGTTAAAAATGGATACAAAAGATGCAGGCCGTCTAGATCAGGTTTCCTCAGAAAACACCGAGCAGGCTGACAAGTAACACAAAACTTCAGAAAATGTCTTCTCCCTGCGATTCGCTCATTAAACATGCGATCACTATTTGGAAAAATGAGCGACTTGACGAAACTGATAAGAACGAAAAAAATACCATGCATTGGCGATAGTTATGCTGCAAGAAACGCGGTTACATCTAGACATCAACGAGTCTTCGGTTGAGCTAGATTTCTTTGACACGCATCGGTTGAATAGACTGTTTACTACGAAATCGAGATGGTGGTCTAATAACCTACACCAAATCGTCTTGGTGTAAGTCTACAAAGATTATCTTCACCTACAACGTGGGATATATCTCATGTTTCATTTCGCCTGTTCGCCGAGCTTGGCAATTTGTTTGCAAACATATCATCACCAGCCGACGTGAAATCATCAGTGCTTGTGAAGTGGCCACTTCACTGATGATGTCACCTCGGCTGGTGATGAAACGTTTGCAAACAAATTGCCAAGCTCGGCGAACAGGCGAAATGGAATTCAGTTCACCCGAGCTACGAAAACCGATTTTCAATATTTTGTCAATATATCTCATGTCTTTCGGTTGAATGTAAACCCCGTTTTCTTCGTAAATATCATTTCATCGTAGGTAGCATCAAACATTTACATAGCACCTTCCAGTTCAGCTACTGATATACAGACATTTGTTGATGTATTTGTATTCGAACTTTCTCTCTCCACAATCTTGTAAATTTCTCTACAAGAGGAAACGTGTAGCTGGACCTCATTTTTTGAACGATCCTGACCTGTTTGCTGTGCGAATCATTGTATCATAAATGTTATGCCAAAAGTTCTACTCAAAGGAACATCATGGCACACTGACACGTACATCTAACCGGAAGATTTTTCACAGACTGTGTGACCCGGCATCACTGAGCGAAATGGTCTCTGGTACAAATTTTGATCAGCTCTTTGACCCAAGTGTCTCGGTCGAGTGTGAACATCTCACGAGCTGTGTAAACTGCTGCCCCATAGCCCCTGTGTACATCAGTCCCTCCAGAAAATCGTGATAGACCTTTAGTTAAACAAACGTCGGTACTGATCAAGAATGAGATCCAAAATCGTGACAAACTTTATGGTTAAACCCTCCTTGGCCACCCTAATTACAAGCAAGTCTGGAGCGCTATGAAAAAACTCTGTGGACTACGCGGGCCTCAAAATACAGCAGATGAACTCAATTGCATGCTTTCCACGTCAACTCAAACTGAAGTTGAACAGGCAAATCAGAAGACAAACACTACGAGAGAAATTTCTGTCTTCTTCTGACTTTTTTCTTTCTCTCTTTCTGTTTTCTGACTTGCCTGTTCAAATTCATAACGGGATCCAAATGTTTCAAACTGAAGCATCGTATCCATATTTCCAATCAGTTGACCATCATGAGGTTTCGCATGTCAACTGTAATCAGGTGCGGGCACAGCTGATGTGCCTCAAAACATCAAAGCTTCCGGTCCGGACGGACTATGTCCAGTCATCCTGAGGGAATGTGCGCATTATTTGGCGGAGCCACTTACCGGTATTTTCAACCGCTGCTGCGAGGAACAAAAAATTGTCGACCTGTGTGCATCACACCAGTCCCAAAAAAAGGAAGCTGAGAAATTACGACCAATCGGTTGTGCTTCTATTTTATCAAAAAAATTCGAAAAGTTTATGCTTAGAAACATTATTCCCAACACTGGGCAGCTAGATGACAACCAATTCGCTTATTGCAAACAACGTTCTACCTTACATGCTCTTGCGTAATTGGTAAACTCAGTTTTGCGATCTCTAGACATGCACGGCAGGGCATTTCGTGCTTCGACTATAGTAAGACTCTTAACTGTGTTGACAGGAGCAGGCTGGATTGCCCCATACTACCCTCTCTCTACTTCAAGATTATTTTGCTGGTAGAACGCAATTCACGAAGTTTCTTGGAAAAACCCTACCAGTCAACTCAGGGAGCAATTATGTCCCCCTTTCTTTTCTACTCCTATGTTCGTGACCCACCCAATACCCCTGATGAGCTTCTTATTAGGTATACTGATGATATCACCACAGGTTCCAAATTGCAGGGTGATTCCCGCTTCTCACATGTTCAAAGCAGTTTATCTGCCTTAAACTTCGTCTTCCAAGTCATTTCTCAATACCTCTTAATTTTAGGATGTTACCTTCTCGTTCGCCAAAGGAGAACGGCCACATTCTTTTCAAAGGAATTGTTGTGTACTGTCAATTCCTTTTCTGCAGAATTAGGACTGCTTTCCCGTGTTAAACCTCGAGACGAGTGACGCGCAAAGTCCCGATTCCAATGCAATGAAAACCAAGACTGCCTCGTGATACGGTACTATTAATGCGAATTAATTAACAGTATGATAAATTATCTACAAACCATGATTCGTGAGGTATCTGGGTTAGGACAGTCGTCAAGGCACTCCCAGATATGTGCATCAAATGGGAATATGACAGCGCTCGGTTGTGTCGAAATACACCTTACGATCAGGGTGCTTCAAAAGGGGACAGCTCACTGCTGTGTCAAAGAGAGAATGTGATCCAAGTATACCGAGTCAAACAAATAAGTCCAGTCAGGCAGTGACATGAAGCTCCCAAAGTATGAGCCAATCATAAGAGAGTTGGGCGCACACAATTCGACCTCTCAACAAACAGCGACAGGCGTGCGTGCATGCATGCATGTGGGTGTGTACAAGAACAGGTGACTCCCAAGGAGCCATCAAAACAGATCACGTGCGTAGGTGGTTGAATAGTCGATAAATGGTAAGCAGTGAACCGGTACAAAAAAAGGGTAGACGGAACATAGCAAGAGACAATGGAGGTCACAAGAGAACTCGTGTGGTTGAAATCATACGAGTGAGAGGTGTGCGTGCCTGCATGTCCATAGCGTGTCAGAGACTGGGAGTACTAAGCACTCGCTTGATTATGTAAGAAATCGAACGAAACGAATGTCATCGGGACAAATAAGAAGCGATAGAATGGGCAATGTGAAGAAAGAACAATAAGTGATTCCGAGAAAAAGATTCACCAATGACTATGTTGGAAACAACCTGGCTACTTGTTGTATGAAAGGGACCGAGGATGTGATTCGGTTATCTGATCTGAGCTGCTCGGCGGCCCAGTGCGTAATATGCTTGCGTTCTATCTGTGAGGTTCCGGGGCTTCGATCCCCAGTTGGGTCCATGGATTCGCATTGCTGATGAGACCCAACCAGGTCGAAACAGTTGTCCAGTGCTTCCTAGCTTTTCAATTCACTTTTCATTTTATCTACACACGACGAATTCCTTTTTTCCTCTCATATAATTCTTATTCTTTACACATTCAACTGTACAAATGGATCCCTTGATTCAGACCTTTTGCTATCCTAAATAGTTGCATGGCGAAAGAGATTCCGGATCTGGGGATCGTAAAGCGTCAAAACATATCCCGATGAGTCTTTGACTGTTTCATCCTTCAGTAATTAATATCCTCTGTGAAGTCTCACCGAACGTACTTTGACTCAAATCCAAGATTCGACGATTGTGTTTCTTCATTTCCCGCTTGCGTTCTTTGAAAGTTCCACTGTATTTACTCACTCGATTCGTATATTCTTGTGTTGTTACCCATCTTCACTAATGCTCCCCAGTGTTATTTGCCAGTTTTAGAGGTAAAGATTACACAATTCTACGCCGGTCCATTAAAATCATTTCTCGCACAAGCGGTATTCCTTATTTGTACTTGCTTAACTTTATCGCCGAAAAACATTTTACTTCTTGCGAAAATGTCTGCAACAATATTCTATCGGACATCACTCGCCCATTACACACAGAACTTAAACAATGCATATCCACTTGTGCAACTACATGTTATTATAAACTGGTGTATGCTCGTACCACTGCCTATCGATTGTCCATCATCCTTTAATTTCGGGATTTCTGGCTCAAAAGACATCCGTTAAAGAAAACTTTTTGAATTACCTATTACCTATCGACCTCGTGTTTGCATTTTTATCCTGGTGATATGACAGGGATATATATATATAATGCGTAGGAGAACAGATGACTGCTATGGAGCAAGTTCGAGCCACTTCAACTACACTCATAATTAGACCATTTGTGACATGCTGCCCCTACAAAACATGTCGGAATATGTATTGTCAAATGCTGACAAATGTATACAACTTTACGGACAGGCATGTGGGAACAGTTCACAAATGCAAAAGATGTGGTCAATACAGAATGCATAAAAGGCCAAGTGAAAAACTTTCAGCGAATGCGTGGCACTCAGAATCACAGCCATAATTTGTAAATGCGAAATTGTACCTGGGTGTGGAATACCTGGATTCCCTGCGGTTAGGACCAAGAAAGAGACGTGTAACAATGTGCTATTTGTTCGACTGTGGCAAAACAGTCCATCATTAGCTCTGTGCCTAGTCCGTATCGTTCATACTGATGTAGATAGGCCCTCGAGGCAAACATTTCCCATGCTCGACTGGCAGCGTATCGCAAACTGGCAACGGTATCACCACTGCTAGCCGCATTTGCATCCCCGTCCCCGGTGGGGTTGTCAGCTGCGCATGGGTTGGGCAGGCGCATTCCGCCGCCGTTCGAGGCTAAGAACAGACTACGGGGATAGTTCATGAACGGGCGTGAATGCCCGCGGATAGAAGAAGAAATAACAGACCGCGGTGATAAACGATCCGTGGGAAATAAACCTTTGGTGAGTTCGTTTGAAAACGCAGCCGGTTCGCGTGTGTATTCCATTGAGTCCTGACCGCGTAAAACCGCAACACAGGAGAGAATAGGAAGGTGTGTCTGTTGGAATCGACGTACAGCTTCGGTTCCAGAAGACATTGAGGACCAATCCATTCCTGCAGACAGAGGGAGGTTATAAAGCAAAAACCACATGTAAGGCACTGAACGTCACACTCATGGAGACACGACGTCACAGCGTAACGATGACATGAGAAAAAACCTCGGAATTAAACGTTCTCATGTGGAAACCTGAGAACAACAATAAGCGATTTAAATTAGTCCCATTTTCTGCAGAAGTACAAATGCTTGGGTGAGTAACATACATACATATATATATATGCTCGTCACAACAACCTTGTTTGCAACACCGGGTAACCATTGGATAGACAGCTCTTTAAGAGCCAGTCCAATGAAGAATCAATGCTATGATTCGATGTTTCGTAAGTGGGTTAGATGCTACATTTGTAGTACAGTGCGATTGCTCCATCGTTTTCGATCGTCTCTTCCCTCTCACCCGTGACCTTAAGCAAGTAAATTCCCACTAACCCCTAATGCGATCTGATTGGATCATGTTCCGCGATCTGCAGCGCTTAAAATCTCTCACCCCAACACGAGATTGTCTGATTACCGACTTGTACGTTCTGTAATGCGCTTGTTGTTACGTCCAGTCCATCCGTGTGCTGATCGCACTCCTGCTGCACTGGGCCTGCCTGAGACTCACGGCTGTAAACAAGGTGTGACTTCTGGCTCGAGTTAGCTGGGCAAGTACCAGGTCCCTTGTTGCGACTGGACCATTCGACCGATCGATAAATGTACCCGATCGGTCGTGTGATTTTCGGGCCGGCACAGGAGGAGGATAGATTCTGAATCCGATGCTGCTTAAGTGTTGGTAGAGAATCAACACAAGAGAATCAGTTGTGGAGCGGTGATATCTTTTGTTGTTGCTTGTTTCTTACGGGGCTCGGGATTTCGACAGGCCGACCGTACAGAATTCGCGTCACTGAATTCTATTCTGAGCCATATCTCTCAGCGTCTCTAACCAGCAACAATCTTCATCTCTTGGGCCGCAACCTGGAAGACGGGCTGCACCAATCGAAGCCAAAGCTGAAACTAGCTTCTTTATACCTCTACGCCATGTCATGGTCTGACTGCCGCGGCGCTTCTTTTAGCCTTACCCGATACGTACAAAGAAAGCGTGGAAAGATAGTCGATAGGCAGGTATACGAAATACGTGACAAGGCCATCGAAGGCGGTGTAGAGCGACTACTTCTGTTAGGGAACGATTATCCACACCCAACACACGATGACGGATTTCGTCATTGCTGTTCCGATATTTCCATCACGACGAGACTGCACCTTGACGTGGTGTGATGGCTTGTGCGCTTCTATGACCCAACGAGCTGCACAGGATGGCTTTCACCGAGCCAAATATCTAATCATACCTGGAAGGTCAATGGGCAGAAGTCAGACGAAGTCCAGTCTCTTGGTCCTCCAGGTTGTGGGTTCGACTTGAGTCCGCGTCTCAGTCGATAAAACGTGTTGGAGGAATAATTGATCTAAGTTAATGGGCCTCCAATCCGCCTTAACCGCTGCCTTGCGATCAGGATATTGTCAGAATTAAAGGCTTTGGTTGAGAGCCCTGCTTAGTGGCTGGACACCCTGGCAGTACCCGCCCATAAAGTTCCAATGAACACACAAACAAAAAATATGTCCATACTGCATTGGTCGTCGCGCAGGATAATCAGGACCGCGCTACCCATTGCATCGAGCAAGGTGGGTAGTGATAAGTGGGCTACTGCTCAGATATCCCAACCTTTGTTTCATTTTTTGTCTTCCGTGCCAAACCCTATCCCTTTACCTCTTCTTCCGGCCCGTAATATTCCTTCAGAGAACTTGGTCGTCACTCACTAAAGGTCTTTGCCAAATAGCACTGTAACTAGTTTTCCTGCAAATAAAGTGCAGATTCTGAAACCAGGTCAACCTCTCAATCTGGGGGCTTTCAATGTGAGGACTCTTATGCAGGTCGGTCAACAGGCGTGTTTTGCGCGTACAATGGAGTCTCTAGAAATCGATGTCTACTGCGTATCGGAGACACGAATTCAGGATCCTGGTATTATATGCCACCTGAGTGCGCCGGGTCTGTCCTCGAGGTATTTCCTTCGCACATAAAGAGACGACGCAGCCCGCTCACTGGGTCAGCGTGGTGTAGGCATCATACTAAACGATAAAGCTGAAGCCTCTATGATAGATTGGACACCCATCAATAGTCGTCTGTGCGTAATGAGGCTACAGGGTTTAGTTAGTGTTCGGAAGGATAACAACACCAAAAGGTGTTTGTTCATCATTTCCGCGTATGCACCAGCCAATTGCAGTCCCGCTTCACAAAAGGACGCATTTTACGACAAACTCGCAAAACTGATTCGGTTAAGCCGCAACTCTGATATTGTAGTGATGGCAGGGGATTTTAACGCGCAGGTTGGAAAACTGAGCGCATCCGAAGCCTGTCTAGGAGGGCACTTCGCCCTTCCCGCCCAGCGAACAGACAACGGTGATCGACTACTTCCGTTCTGCGCGAATCACCGGCTGTGCATATCGAGCGCCAACTTTCGACACAGCTCTCGTCGAACGGCTACATGGGAAAATTGACCCAAATTGACCACGTAGCTGTAAGCTACCGTTGGCGTGGCTCAGTACCAAATTGCAGATCCTATTGGTCCACCTGCGTTGAGTCGGATCCTGCACTAGTTCTGTTACGCTTCGCTCTTCGACACATTGGTCATCGGTAGAAAATGCCTCTTCAATTAGCTCACCATCGTCTGCGCGCATTATGAGAAGCTGGGACAGGAGCTAGGAGAACCGCGACATAGTGGAGTAGACCAACAGTG